TACTTATAGTTAATTAAACAGTAAAAAAAGTATGTATAACATGTAATGAGCATACAATATCAAGATCACAAAATATAATATCTTGCTTTTCTACAGCATTAAAATAAGCTTATAATGTATGATGATCACGTTTAAGTTAATTATTCTACCTCATTATGACTACTGCACAAAGACTGACAGAAAACTCTTGCAAGTTATAATAACATAACTTGAATTGATTGATTTTATGTAGGGTACAGATTGATGATGCTTTATTTGAGTAGTCAAAGCCACCCCCAGTTCTCCAGATTGCTTGACTTTGAAGGCATTGAGATTAGCTTCATAGTTCTCAGTCACTATTTTGGCATAGATGAGAGCAGTTAAGTCTCCGTGACCATAGATGCTAAGTATTTCTCCTAATACAGGCACACCACTTAGAAAGTCTAGGACAAAGACATCTCTGGCTGCATAATGTACACCCTTTACCACAATATACTCATATTTGTCAAAAGTAGTAACATTGGGAGGAGTTAATGAGAAAACTTCAAGCAGCATTTGTTGATGTTTCTCATTCATTTCCCCAATTTTCTTAGACTTAGGGACACCCTTACAATTTGCTGTCTTAAGGTAAGGACCATCATCTCCCTCAACACTCAACATCATATCACCAGCTTGCTTGGTTTGATGCCGCCAGGCCAGTGAGTGGTAAACATTCACAGAATTGTGGGAAATTTTCCACACCCTTTTGAACTCTGCTTGCTTACTCTCAAATCTGGAAAAATGTAACAATCTTATAAAAATGTTTGAATAGAAGGAAAAAAAATAAAGGTGAATCTTAAATTTACCTGAAACACCAATGCTGGCGAAGGGGGCCAAAGAGAAGAATTTGGGTTGGTAGATGAATTTCGTAGTGCATTTTGGGAATTTCAGAGCCAGGGTAACATTTTAAAAACATTTTGTGATGGTTATTAGTCATTTTTCTAAGGTTTTCAACATCTTGAACTGTGAATTGTGTGGCCATTTGTAAGTTCAACAAGTTTAACCTAAGGATGAAGCAGTTTAAGTTTTCTTGATGGCACACAGACTTCACACTGCTAGATAATTCATCCGAATCTAACAAAACAAAAGGTAGCATATTTGCTAGAGCTAGAGTTTCTGATGCCGATGTGCGTAGATTTTCATTTTTTAGATGGACAGCTTCAATAGCAGAGGGCTTATTCACACCAAAATACTTTGAGTATTTCTTGATTCGATTATTCACTGTTTTTAGATCAATCAACTTGGGTTCGATTTTGTTGACGGCATGGTCAATGAGACATATTATTTCTAGTTTTAAGGTTCCATGGATCACATCGTGCATCAAATCTTGAGGAAATTGCTTGGTTACATCACAGCCCTCAAACATGAATATACTCCGACTGTTCACTCCATAGGAGACAGATGGGTTTTTTAGAACCAATTGCTGATTTGATGGCAATTTTAAAAATGCTTCTAGTTCTTCAATGTGCTTCTTATGACTTTCTTTTGATCTTAGAGAAAAACTATTTTCCAAGAATGACTTGTAGATTTCAGGCTTAGTACCCAGGCACTGACGGCACAGGAGGTCAGCGAAGTGGGACTCCTTAAATCCACCCAAATTGGCAGAAGCAGGGTTATCCCCAGATGAGAATAAGTGAATGCCATGGAATGTCCTCACTTTACCCATGATGAGAAAATTGACACCTTCATCACTTGATAGCTTCTTTATACCCTCAACATAATCTTCAAGGAATTTGTCAAATCCGTGATTTTTAATGTATTCAGCTTGTGCACAAAACATCAGATTGATTGCCCTGGTGCTGGACCTCAATTCTGGATACAGATTGAGAAGGTTCCAGTAAAAAAACCTGGAATTGTCAATGATATTAATATTTACATGAACAGATTATGACATAAATATGCACAATAAAGAATATTATTACTATACCTTCCATTTAATGGGCTTGTGCTTGCAGTGTCAGTAAGTCTGGCATCGTCCACATAAGTACCAAACGCCAAAGTTTGTCCAGGAAATTTCTTCACTACCGGATGGTTACGGTAATAATACCCATCCAATGGGGAGGCAAATGTGCCTTCCTCTGCAAGCTTTGGGTTGTCAATACAATGCAGCACCTCAGGTAAATTAAGCAGTTTCTCCAGCAATAGCAAAAACCCAACAGAATAGCCAAATTCAACGGGAATTTTTTCTACAGAGTTGGTTTTTCTTAGAACTTCTTGCTCTGAAAGTACCACTTGTTTAGGAGGGACCAACCATTTTTTCTGATCCAGGTACTTTTCATACTTTTTTCGAGTTTGAAGTCCTTCAAAGAGCGAAGAATGTCTGTATCCGTCCAAGGTTTTGCAAATTTCGTCTAAAGAGAGACTATTGCTGTTGGAGTTCCTTGCCATTTGACAAAACTTGTTCTGTCAAAATAACAATAGGTTAAATAATATTTTTTGAAGTTATTTTTAAATTTTGACTTAAGTCAACTTAAAGTTTGAATCTATCTTGAAACATACCTGCAGTAAATCTAAATCAATTTCAGAAAGAACATCTACTCCTTTAATGACAGAGTCAATTACAGTTTGAGTTGTGTACTCGTACATTTTATGAAGCAGCTCTGCTGCTTTTAACTGTAACCTTTCTTCTACACTACTTGCATGACCAGCTGACAACAAAGAGACGAGCAAGTGTTAAATTAAATTCTTTTAACAGTTTAATCCAACATGACTTATAATTAACTACATACATTCCAAAAGCAATTGTTCATAGAACATTTTGGCGTCATCTTCGTTTTCTAGATCAATAAATTCCTTTAAAGTGGAACCTGATCAACAAAAAGGCAACATTAAGAAGAAGTGTAGGAAAATAAAACTTCCAGACCTTATGGACTTACCGTGCTCTTCCCTGCGATGCCCTTTTAAATCGTCATAACTAGGGAACAACGCCTGACATAGGAAGCAGTTGAAAACAAGTTTGCATTTCGCATTTCTATGATGGATAATAATGTGCCTCAAAAGTTCATCTTTCGAAAGAGCCGTTGCTGAACAAAGTGGGCACCGGTTAAATTTGAAAACCTGAAATATTACATTGTGAAATGTGAAATACAATTATAACCTACACAGTCCGTAAAACTGTGATCTCTTATTTCTACGTGAGCATTGGTTTTACAAACCTCTGACATAGTGACAGATAGGATTTAAAAAGTACAAAATAAAAAGAACTTTAATCCATGTACATCTGAGAAAAAAAGACGAATGAAATCCAAGAACATTGTTAATAATATCTTCGATAGAAACTTTCGAACTCCGTGAGAAGCAAACAACAACAACATGGAAAATGTAATCATGTTGTTGTTTGTGGACTGCCCTCCATTGGCTGCCGCCAGAGCCCACTCTCACCAATCAAAAAGTACCTTGGAGGGGAAAAAAATCCGTAAAAACCTCTCCAAAGATAAAGTTTCTTACATTTATGCTAATTTTAATTAATTACCTTGCTTATTATACAATACAGTAGAGTTGGTGCACTTCTTCCGATATAACACTTTGTTATTTTTGGTTTTGTAGTTGGCAACTTGTGTAGCCCACCGTTGTGGATCTTGCGGATGAAATTCAAATGTCAGTGGTCAAGTAGAGAAAAGAGAAAATGGCTCAGACAAATTTTCCTCCTGGCTTTCGCCCACCAACAGCGGACGTACTTAGGATATTGACTTGTGATAGCGATGATGATGATAATGAGTACCTTCAGCACGTCAATAATAATGTGCGCGAAAAAGATGAAGGCCTCCGCAAAGTGCTCGGGCAGGAACAGGTGAGTAGGCCTACACCACACATCATGTGATTAATTCAGGCTGATTCACTCGGTTTACTTAAACTCATAAATCTGTATTATTTTTAGACGTCTAAGAATAAAATTAACAGAAAGGACAAGAATACTGGGAGCACAGGCAAAGCGACGGTATTTTGTAATGTAACTTGTTTGATTATTAAAATAATTGCTTGAGTGACCACATATTTTGTATGTACATTCCTTCAGTTGCCTTTGCGAAGATCAACCCGCGGAAGGGGACTGACGGTTCAAGAGGAAAGCAACATTTCATCCCCGGGCCCTTCTCAACCACCCAGCAGCAATCATGTACTAAGAGATTCAAATTTGTCAAATAAGGTACTTTTGTTCCATCTTATCATGTAGCTAAAAAAATTATTAGCTCATTTTCCTGGCCACAGCATATTTTGTGTCATAGGACAATTTCTTAACTTTATTCCCATTTCAGATGAGTCCTATCCCTGTCGCTCCCTCTTTCCACACTCATTACTTCGACCACACCCTAAGATCTGTTTCCCCTACTCCTTCTCAACGCTCTGCTGTAAGCAGCTCTACAGTCAATGCAGCCGAACCCTCTGTAAGTGCTGCAAATAACAATCTTGAACTTGAATCATCTGTTGTCCATGACTATTTATTTTTCACTATATTTCTATAAACTTACCCAGGAATCTTTTAACTCAAGAAAAGATGATATGTCAGGAGGAGAAAGCTTTAATTTTGATGATACAGCTGAAAAAGCACCGAGCACAACTAGTTCAATTGTAAGTATTTACTGTACACAAAAGTAAGATTTTAATAAATATTACAAGATAGAATATAATGTACACCTCAACCTACTATCATTTAATTTTAGGTTGCTGATAGTTTTGATAGCAGTTCTGAAAAGAGAGGCCATAACTCAAATGAAAAATCTCACACACTAGTAAGCTACGGCAGCAGTGATAATATTTATAGAAGTTCTGAAAAGAGAGGCCATAACTCAAATCAAAAACCTAACCGACTAGTAAGCTACCCTAGCAGCAACAGTGACACAGAATCAGATAAAGTTAGTGATAACCAATTAAATGAGTTAAATGCTTAGACTTAATCATATGGCACATTACATATACATGTTGTATATTACAGGAGAATACGAGTCCTACGAGAGAAATAAGTCCCATGAGAGAAACGAGTCCCATGAGAGAAACCAGTCCTACGAGAGAAATAAGTCCAATGAGAGAAACAAGTCCCAAACCCAACCAAAAAAAGAGACGTCGACCTGAAAAGGTATAATTTTATATCAAGCAAACAATATTGGCCTATTCATAGATTACTACTGCCTATTTTTGCAGAAAATAAGATTGAGAGGACATATAATCACCTCTGAAAATGCATTACCTACTTTATCCAGTAATTTAGATAAGGACCTGAAAGAGGGTACTGTAAAAAGAATGCAGCTTAACAAAGAGGTGAAGGAATACATTAAGGAAAAAACTGGAGACCAACACTTGACACCAGAGGAATGGAACTTTATATGTGAAGCACTAGTTAAAACTTACACTATATTATCTGATGCCGATGACCCAAAGGGATATGTAAGTGGACCATCACCACCAAATACATTTTTTAAAAAAACTTATCAGAAACTGTACGATTAAATGTTTTCTTGTTTTCGTTAACTTTTGACAGAAAACCTTAAAGTACAAACTCCAAAACAGTATAACAAGTGAAAGGAGCTACCAACTAAATGGGGTCCCTTCAAGAAATAAGGTTCCTTCAGCTACAAGGTATTCTAATACTAAATACAATAATTCCTCACATAATTTGCATTTCTGAAGTTAATTTTATGATTCCTTCTTTCCAAGTCAACCCTCGACCAGCCGCAGTAACAACAGTGAGTCTATGTTGTTAGAGCTTCAGATTCCCAGTAGGGACATTGAGCGGCTAAAGTTTCTGATTACTGAAACACTTCAAGAGCGGCAAGGAGTTGGGCCTGATGATCGGATAAGGCTGTATCCCCATTACAAAAATGGTGAAATGGTATGACTTTGTAGTTACACTTATGTCAAAATATCTTCACCAGAAATATTTTAGGATGTTTAGAGTTTTGACTTTCTCTTAAAACAAATTTTATAATTTGCCAGCTTCTTTTTGAATATGCAACCCTAATCGAGATGAATCGAACTGAACTAGAACAAAATGCAGCAGTATTGTTACAAGACCTGGCACCAAGGCCTGAGGGCATCACACTAGAGCAAAAATTAGAGAAAATCAATACAGTACAATCTGAGCTCATTCCAAAGTCCTTAAAGAAGAGGTGCATAAAGCCAGCACTTATTTCCAGAGATGTAAGAACACTACTCTAAAACACATGATATTATATTGATATGAAGTATTAAAATCTAAAATAAATTATATTTGTGAAGACCTTATATTTTCATTCTCTTACAGGCAACTGAAGTGTATGGTGACATAAATGCATTAGCTCTTGGGCATGAGGAACAGGCCCCCTTTTGCGTCACAGTTCTTGACACAAATCAATTAGCAGAAAGAGTTATCACAAAAGCCATATTGATTTACAAAGGAAGTGTCATTTCGCAATTAGATCATCCAGCAATTCAACAAATATTAGTTTTCCTAGTGGGCTCATATTTCGTACTAGATATACAGTACCCTAATGCATATGACAGTTTTTTAAGACTCCTGGAAAAACAAATTAATGGTGCATTTTGCAAACGGACTAGTCATGGAAGGGCT